TTTTTTTTAATGAAAACTCATTAAATTAAATTACGCAAATAGGTGAAATTACCCAATATGCATGGCTCGAAAGCAGAGAACAATGAAATTGTAACGGAAAGCCGCAAGAAAAAGGATAAAAAAGGAGGTGGTGGAGCTTATATAATGATTCCACTGCTACTCGGCGGCACATTCATACCGATTGCCTATGGTGCTTTGGCCATGCTGGCAGGCAAAGCATTAATCGTTTCCAAGCTAGCACTGGTCCTCGCTTCGATTATTGGCATTAAGAAGTTACTCGGTAATAATAACAAGGAATCGCATGAAGTTGTCGTCTCCTCCGGTGGCCATTCAGGTTGGGGGCGAGACATGGACCTGGCATACAGCGGCTGGAAAGCTGGCAAAGAGCATACAAAGACAATGTAGAGTAGTTAGTGAAACGAATGGTGAACGTTCAGTAACCGAATACAGTGACAGCTGGACCAAAGATGTTGACGACAAAAGCTAGTTAAATATTTTAATTATCTATTTACTTAATTATTTTAAATCCAGAACTATGACAGTCAAATATGTGTGTTAAGTTTTCGCCTTTAACTATTTAGTTTAAATTAACAATTATAGTTATATTGAAAATAAAAACATAAGTTTGTTTCAAAAGTCAGTATTCATCGCTTTGCCTTCATTAACAAACCTATGTAGTAACATCTTCAATGCGAGGAGAAAGTTATAGTTTTGTTATTAGTTTTGTTCACCTAACGGTTGTTGTATCATAAAACTAATCGAGTTAGATATAGAGGTTATGTATAATATAAATGATCAGGATGAAGAGACGAGTTGAAATCATCTGACTGTCCGTCGTCGCGTCCGTGCAAGCTCTAACTTGAGTAAAATTGAGATATCTTTATGAAACTTGGTAGACATGTTTTTGGTACGTGAGACGGTTGGTTTGCAGATGGGGTAATCGGACCACTGCCAGTCCCAAAAAACGCCATTACTCAAAAAAAAATAAATTGCCATAACTAAGCTCCGCAACAAACAAGACTTATTTGGTATAACAGGATACATATAGGGAGGGCATCTGCAGTTAAAATTTTTTTTAAGTGGGCGTGGTCCCGCCCTAATGGTTTAAATGTGCATATCTCCTAAGCGCTAATGCTAAATTAAATAAAATACTGACAAATTATTTTTTAGGACTCTACCTACAGTGTGAAAATGGGTGAAATCAGGTGGCAACTACGCCACTCCCCATATAACGGTACTGTTAAAAACTACTAAAGCGCGATAAATCAAACATAAACACGCCAGAACATTAATTTTATCTCTGGGAGGTTGAATGACTTTGTAGGAACGCGTCTAAATTAGTCAGTGGACGTGGCACAGCCACTTTTAGGTGAAAACCCATATCTGAGATCTGCTTAACCAATCGGTAGTCAACTTCATTCTCATATTTCCTATGTTATGTACGAAAAGTAAAAGTTTATGTGCGAAATCGGATTAACCACGCACTTTCCTATAACACATTTTCAATTCCATCTGATTCTTTCACTTTCCAGTATGCAAATCAAGCAACAATGATTTGTATCGGGGAAAACTTGCGTGAATAATACATTAAAGTATGCACCTTGTGACAAAATTGTCTAAATGCGACCAACACAGTGTATAGTTGACTCTACGTGAAAATATCAGTCAAATACAGTATCCCCATTTGACTTTGCGAGAGTATAAAATGGTCGGTTATATCCGAATTAGCCCTTCCTTACTTGTTGCTATTTAAATTGTGTCTCGTAACTTCGTCTCCATACAGACCCCCAGGTGGTTGGCAAAATCCTCCGCTGAACCCTCCCGAGGATGCCCTGGTAATCAAGTGAATTACCACAGAATCCCGACGAAGGCAGGGTCGAGCTGGAAACAGTTCGCCACTGTTGCAGGTGGGAGGTATCTAGCTAAGGCCTAACTTTTTATTTCAATAGCACAGCATTCAGATGGGTAGTCTTACTATGGTTGGCCCTAAAATAGCGCAGTCTAAAATAGAGCTTTGCATACCTGGCGTCCTCCGTAAAAAGATAGCCTTACTTGCGTAACGGACTTTTCCTTAGACGTTTGGGTCCAAAATATGAACCAACTAGGAACTAGTTCCGAAAAAGAAAAGCGTTTGCAACGAGCTCGAAAACAGTCGGTACAAAGAGAGGAGCAAAGTTTGTTCTAAATGCAAGGGCTGGCACTAGCAAAGGTGTTGAGGCTAAGCCTAGCTTCTGGATGGCAACAACACCAGCAGCAGCCGGAACCAAACCCGGTAGCCAAGTATGGCTGCTAAGCAGGGAGGGGATGAAGATGTCACAAAGGTGTCACTGCTAACAGGGCGTCTGCCAGGGAATGGCCTTGTTTTAATGTCGATGACCCAACGAAAGCTATATATGCGGAGAAGCGACGTGCTGCCAGGAATCTATTGATTGCATGAAAGCAGTCTTGCCTAACTTAAGATGGAAGCGCCAGCAGTGGCAGCCATGCAACAGCCAAAAGATCGATGACATAAGGAGTAACGCCTGCAAAATCGTTTGCTGATGTGGCCCGGAACCGTATTATCACTGGGGTGCTGGATGAGGGAGATCCCGAAGGTAGCTTGTAGTGACCAGAGATCGGCCCAGCTTTATAAGGCCGCAATAGCCAAGGGCAAACGTATGGATTCCGGCTAGACCATCGCAGCTGGACCAGATAATGCAGCTTATCAGAGCCTGCAACCCAAATCTGCCAACTGGAGGGTGGAGATTCGTTAAAGCCTTCAAGGAGCCCGCGGTAAAATCTGGCGGCAAGACTACAAGCGCCATGATGCAGATCCTACTGCTACTAACAAAGGAATCCATAGAACCGCTGGTGAAAAGTGGCGCACAAGTCAAACGCCGATGCTGCTGACTTAGGATTGGCAAATGAGTTGGGTGAAGTCGATGAAGATCCCACGGAGTCCTCAAGTGATGTATATAACATTGAGCAAGGTGAGTTTTCTTTGAGTCTGAGCTTGTTGACAGACTCTCTAAAGTATATACTAAACGAAAACTTCTGAGCAACATTCAAGAAGGTACAAATAAGACAATTATTAATGCATATTCTTCAAATTAGTCTTCACGATAGCAAATCACCTTCTCTAGCCCTAATTGACCGCATGGCGACAGAACAGCCTGAATTCGTCCACACTCAGGAGCCATGGGTTAATGGACCGAGCATTTGCGGGCTGAGGGCACCGAACTACAAACTGTACAAGGCGAAGGCTAAGAATAACATTAAGGCTTTTTATGTAATGAAGACACCACAACCATAAGCTGAGAGACGGACACAAACAAATACCGGTTTCATGTGTGTTATGCTATATTCCATACGAAGAGAGGAAATACCATCGCAGATTATTAAAGAGCTGGTACGAGACAACAAAGGATACAAGTGCTAGATTATACTTGGCTGCGACTCCAACGCACACCACACTCTCTAATGAGTTACTATCAACTAAGCAAGAAATCGACAGGAAGTATTAGACATAACACTTGTGTCGGAAGAACGAATAGATAAACACTGCACTTAACATCAAGAACGCTACACAGATGTCACCTCACGACAACACCTCACACCGCCCACCAACAAAAAGGATGAACAACAGGACAGCCATCACATTCGCTATATATATATATATATATCATTCGCTTAAACACATCCGTCTCGTCAACAGGCCTGAGCGCCAAGTCAACATTTGATACGAAAGCTCCTGCGCGAAACTTTTCGATTGATCGCCGTCACTAAACACAAAATAATCCAAATATAATATAAGCGGGCGCGATCATACAAATTAAACATATACATATAAACAAAACAACAACAAACACGCAGAAGACGAAGCCAGCCAACACGAACCTTTCAGGAGAGTAGGAAAATAATTGGCGGCAAACACACAGGCTCAAATAAACCCCAAAATCCCTTGAAGAAATCAAAGTGAGCGTGTTCATTTCACCTTTTAATTATTATATAATATGTACATATGTGTGTTTAAAGTTACGGTTTTAAATATTTAAAACGTGTAATGAAAAATCAGTTCCCACACTGTAATAATTTGTTATACGGTATAAATGTTACACCGCTTTATTAAATATATATTATATGGTATATCCTAATATACATACATACAAGTATATATCTAACACTAAATAAATAACTTTCCTCTAAAAGAAAAATTGAAGTATTTACTTCCCAAAATTTTCCGGCAATACCCCTTATGCTTAATAAAGCTATAAGCAGGATTGCTTAAAATAAGCCAGCGAAGGCCAAATCAAATTTATAAAACATAAACAATTACACACATAAATATAAAACAAGAAGAAAATATCAAAAATACATAAAAGCATGTTTACTTAGTGCATATAATATACCTACATATATTCCTATTTATTATATATATATTATTAGCTACAAGTGCATAATAAACATAAAACCATTGCTACATTAATTACATTAATACAAACTTACAAACATATATATTGTACATACGTGCAGACGGGATATACCTGCATATTACTAATTTCGTTTTACCGCTCTCTTTCTATTGCAAAAACTTAGAAGCGCAATTTATATATACTTACGGCATAGAATTTGTTTATTTCTTCTTACTCTACACTGGGTACTAGTACTGGTTAAATATTAAATTTATTAAAAAAAAAAATCGGTTTAACAAAAATAATTCATTTGAGCAATATTCATACATATTTGTTCATATACAGTTGCATATTACAAGTACATTTTCTAAGTCCACATTGGCATACATCCCGCAATACCCCTTTGTAACAAACAAGCAGGATTGCGTACAAAAAAAAAAACTAAAAGCACATTGATCTCTTCAACGAGCTCTCAATTGCCTTAGAAAATAAACATACCAACGCACAAGCAATTCGTGCGTACCTATGTACAAAGTGTATTGATCTCTTCAACGAGCTCTCAATTTCACGAGCACATAAAACTATACTAACAAGTCCGTGTATTACCTAAATGCATCAACATAAGGACATAAAAAGTATTATTGAATTAAAAGTGCGATTTTTAATAATTAAATTAATTAAAGCAATACATTCAAAATAAAACAACAACAATATCATATTGCAAGTAAATACAGTTTACATTGAGAAAAATTTAATTCGTTTTGAAAAATATTTTAACATACTAAATAAATGATAACTGTGGAAAAAAATCAACTACACGCGCAAGACAGGTTGCCACAAAGCAAATAAAAGGCAAAGATATTTGTGCCACCAAATTCATTTCTGAGAGTGACAGATTAACACGATACTGCACTCGATTTTCATCTTCACCGATTCAAGACAACTCTGAATCGTTATTAGAAATAAAAAAGCAAAATCTTAACAATTTTTGGACTCGTCTCCAAGCGGCTCATGACGCCATAGTAGAAACTGAGTCATCAGATCTACCACAAAATTTTAAAACCTCGGCTTTCACAAATTATGAAAACACAAATTACGAAACCACAAAAGCTTCAGCACGATCAGTTAAAGCTAATAAAAGCTATTGCACCTACTCCACATCCGAGAGTAG